CTGTACAACTTTGACTGTTGTGTCTTTGTCTTCTGTACAACTTTGACTGTTGTGTCTTTGTCTTCTGTACAACTTTGACTGTTGTGTCTTTGTCTTCTGTACAACTTTGACTGTTGTGTCTTTGTCTTCTGTACAACTTTGACTGTTGTGTCTTTGTCTTCTGTACAACTTTGACTGTTGTGTCTTTGTCTTCTGGACAACTTTAACTGTTGTCTGTCTCTTCTGGACAACTTTAACTGTTGTCTGTCTCTTCTGGACAACTTTAACTGTTGTCTGTCTCTTCTGGACAACTTTAACTGTTGTCTGTCTCTTCTGGACAACTTTAACTGTTGTCTGTCTCTTCTGGACAACTTTTGCTGTTGTTTACCTCTTCTGGACAACTTTGACTGTTGTCTGTCTCTTCTGGACAACTTTTGCTGTTGTTTACCTCTTCTGGACAACTTTGACTGTTGTCTGTCTCTTCTGGACAACTGTTGTTTATCTCTTTGTACAACTTTGAACTGTTGTCTCTCTTCTGGACGACTTTGACTGTTGTTTGTCTCTTCTGGACAACTTTGACTGTTGTCTGTCTCTTCTGGACAACTTTGACTGTTGTCTGTCTCTTCTGGACAACTTTAACTGTTGTCTGTCTCTTCTGGACAACTTTGACTGTTGTCTGTCTCTTCTGGACAACTTTGACTGTTGTCTGTCTCTTCTGGACAACTTTGACTGTTGTCTGTTGTCTGTTGTCTGTCTCTTCTGGACAACTTTGACTGTTGTCTGTCTCTTCTGTACAACTTTGACTGTTGTCTGTCTCTTCTGGACAACTTTGACTGTTGTCTGTCTCTTCTGGACAACTTTGACTGTTGTCTGTCTCTTCTGGACAACTTTGACTGTTGTCTGTCTCTTCTGGACAACTTTGACTGTTGTCTGTCTCTTCTGGACAACTTTGACTGTTGTCTGTCTCTTCTGGACAACTTTGACTGTTGTCTGTCTCTTCTGTACAACTTTTGGACAACTTTGACTGTTGTCTGTCTCTTCTGTACAACTTTGACTGTTGTCTGTCTTTTCTGGACAACTTTGACTGTTGTCTGTCTCTTCTGTACAACTTTGACTGTTGTCTGTCTCTTCTGTACAACTTTGACTGTTGTCTGTCTCTTCTGGACAACTTTGACTGTTGTCTGTCTCTTCTGTACAACTTTGACTGTTGTCTGTCTCTTCTGGACAACTTTAACTGTTGTCTGTCTTTTCTGGACAACTTTGACTGTTGTCTGTCTCTTCTGTACAACTTTGACTGTTGTCTCTCTCTTCTGGACAACTTTGACTGTTGTCTGTCTCTTCTGGACAACTTTGACTGTTGTCTGTCTCTTCTGGACAACTTTGGCTGTTTATTTCTCTTCTGGACAACTTTGACTGTTGTCTGTCTCTTCTGTACAACTTTGGCTGTTGTCTGTCTTTTCTGGACAACTTTGACTGTTGTCTGTCTCTTCTGTACAACTTTGACTGTTGTCTGTCTCTTCTGGACAACTGTTTTGTCTCTTCTGTACAACTTTGTCTGTCTCTTCTGTACAACTTTGACTGTTGTTGTCTCTTCTCTCTTCTGTACAACTTTGACTGACAACTTTGACTGTTGTCTGTCTTTTCTGGACAACTTTGACTGTTGTCTGTCTCTTCTGTACAACTTTGACTGTTGTCTGTAGAAAGAGATACTTATAAACAGATACTTATAAACAGATACTTATAAACAGGTACTTATAAACAAACAGATACTTATGAACAAACAGATACTTATGAACAAACAGATACTTATAAACAGATACTTATAAAGAAAAAGATACTTATAAACAGATACTTATAAAGAAAAAGATACTTATATGTAAAGATACTTATAAAAAGCTAAAGTTTATACATAGTGGGAAGAGGAGGGTTGACAGCTACATAAAAATATTAGGGGGAGGGGGGGGGGGAACCTCAAGGTGCCGAACCCCTAAGTTCCAGCACCTGTGAGCCAGATCACTGTTGGTGGGAAACATTAATTACGTTGAAACTGTCTTTAATGTCTTTCCTCAGAGAGTAGGACTGACTCAGTCCTGAATTACATGGCCGCCACAGGTCTGGCAAATCGTAACATTCCCGAAACCTATAATACATCGTCAAATACATCGACATTGTTGACATCCATCATTAAAAACAATGGAATTATCAGTCTTTCAGAACGTGTGAGCACGCCTGCTGAAGAATATTATAGGTAAGTTATGATATCAAAGCAATGTTTCCCTGTTGTAAATTTGAACAAAGAAGACACAAACAATAGATTGCACAGTATATTGCCTGGCATATTTCGCTGCATCTCTGCAGGTGCATACTACAGCAATGACATAATGCGTCCTGAACTATGTAAACAGAAAGACATGATTCTGACACTACGGCTACCCTGGTAAAACAGGCAGTTGCATTTGACTGTTGTTGAATTTGTACTGCAGTAGTAAAAGATACACTTATTTGCTTCATATATGTAATTGTTACTGAAGCAGACACCTGACGAATTGCAGCAAAATATGCCAGGCAATAAATTGTACAATCTGTTGTTTGTGTCTTCTTTGTTCTTGTCTATGATATGTTTTAAAATATATTCTGTCTGTTAAAAGGCTTCCAGTCACTTTTTTTTCTCCCTCAGACTTTTGCAATTTTTATTTCTGCCTCCAGGATTGCAACCTACAAACATTTGCTCCTGTAACTCTTTTTAGTATTCTCAGCTGTAGTCTCTGGTTGAAATTTATGGTTGTTTGTCCCCTTCTTTTTTCCAGAATAAGTTTTTCTGGCATATTAATTTCAATGATATAGCTTATTTGTATGCAGACTGTTGGTCCCTCATTTCTCAGGCAGAAGCACTCTGGCTTTGAAGGAAATGCCCCTAATGAGTCACCTTTTATGATATGCTTGTTAAAAAGTCAGTGGGTCTATTCTTTTCCCCCATAATGTGGCTCCAGAACCCACACTGGGCTCGGTAACTTAAAGAACCACCATTTGGATGATTCAAGAAGAGTAAACAAATAGGGCAAATCTCAGACACCCTTTCAATCTCCTTTTTCTGTTGAAAGTTCATACCGTATGGTGTTGGTAATCGTGTCTATCCACAACCTTCTGTCTCGTGTACTTTCAATCAACTGATATCGATGATCCTCCATGCCATGATGTAAAACACTGATCAAGGGAAAATACAAGGAATTGTGGAGAGAACAAACTAATAGTAAACATCCACAAGACCCCATCAGCAGACTCAACAAAAAGCAACGTACAACAATTTTCCATATATGAACAGAACACTGTAAGCTCTACTACCACGTGCATAAAATAAAGATTGTACAGTCCCCACAGTGTCAAACAGAACCACAAACACCTGAGCACATTCTACAGACCTGCCCATTCTACATACAACTTTGAAAAGACACCTGGCCTCAAGAGCAAAATGTGCAGAACAAGCTATGGGGAACCATGAAGAACATGCTACTGACATACAAGTTCATAGAGGCACCCATCTGATAGTCTGATCTGAGCATACGAAACCGAACGCAAAGGAGAAGAATAAGAAACTGTCCAGCGTCTTTTCTCTGTCTCTGTGTGCCGCTCCTCCCCTCCAACATTCCTACTGTCACAATGTACTACAGTTTTTGTCTTACCACATGACCAAAGAAGTTATAATATGACACCTGTAATGGCTACATCAAGTACTACCCCACTATAACTGCAATCCGGCAACGGGTGCGGATATTACTCTAGGGGTACTTATGACACATTTAAAAATTTAAAAAAAAAACCCCAACAAAAATTCAGAAGAAGCTAGAATATCACAAAGATTATTTCAGTATTTGTTTCTTTTTTATTGATAGCACATTAAAAAGGATCCTGTGTTTTTATTTTTCCAGTAACTATGTACTGCAGAAATCCTCAAGCATCGAAGAATTTGGCACATTAAACTGGAGATTAGCTCTGTGTCTTCTGTTGAGCTGGATTGTTGTTGGCGGTGCTCTTATTAAGGGAGTACAGTCCCTTGGCAAGGTAGATAATTATTTTTTATTAATTAATTAAAGAATGATTATTAGAAGAGTGCTATCCCTTGGGAGATCAGAAAGAAAATTAACTATTTAGGGAAAAACGGAGTTAATCTAATAATTATTTTGTATGGAAATAAACATAATAACTACTTGGAATGAACAAAATATAGGTAGGTAGTAATTATTTATTTTGAAAAGAAAGAGTTTAATAACAGTTGTTTGAAACACAAAGAATTACCCCTCTGGAGTTGACGTGGCCGAAATATCAGCCCAACGCAAAGTAGCCAAAAGGACGGCTCGGCCAATCGGTCGGCTCTGTGTAATAAAAGCCTTGAGGTTGGCTGGCAGGTTTTCGTACCAGCTAATCAGATGGCTTCTCGCATTTCTTGCACATATGGGCTGTTTAATGACTGCTTTTGAGAAAGTTTGATGTGTTTTGAATTTTACAGTGGTTTTTGTGTGTGTGTGTGGGCTTATCTTTGCCAGATGACATCAAAAAAGCCTGTTTGCGTCATAGCAATGGAAACATTGCAGAAGGCATGAAAATCAATAGAACCATGTGTCAGAAGTGTCTGAACGGCCTTCATGGGCCTCATTTACCAGAAAAAACACTAGTCTTAGGACTTATTAAGGCTTAATCCATTAACAAAAATGCCTGCGGAAATTATGCAAATCATAATAGTTTAGTTTGAATAAATTTGAGATTTCAGTTTGATTCATACATATTATGCTAGTTTATTCATAATCTTCCCAAAATATACAGTTTTTTTTTTAACATGTTAATTACGTGCTTTATTTTTTATATAATTTTGTGTGTGTAAACTAAGAGAATTCTTCCCTGAAGGCTTTGTCTTTTTGGCACTGAAACTCTTAAAAAAGCTTCGTCTCCAAGGGGTTAAAGATAAAACTGAAATATAAGTAAAAGTAAAGCAAGGAATTCAAGTTAAATTCAAGATGGGTTGTTGTCGTGGAACAGGTTCTTTTTACACTCACTAAAGTGGTGTTATCTTGTTAGAAACTGAGACAACTGTCTTTTGGTGCAAAGAGCAGACAGTGTCCCTGGATACTCAGATACAAACTCGAATTGGCTCGCTAAAGAAAGTGAGCTGCCTGAATATCCCCAGAAAAGGGATAAGGGAATTTAGATGCCTAAACACTTAGACAGAGCAGATTACCCCTCCCAACAATTTCCCTTTCTGGTATTTAAATTAAGCCCCCATCTAGAATATGTATATTGGTAGACAACAACACTGACACCATACATACATCTAGAAATAAAATTAAACTTTAACTATGAATTTAAATCAATCATAGGAATGTTTATTAAAATTAAAGTAAAAGTCAATCATCTATTTACTTTTGAAAATACAATATTCAAACTAAGTAGGATGAAAGATAAAAATGATAGTAACATGAAACTGTCGTCGTGAGAGGATCAGTGGGAAATAACATACAACAATTACCACCTAGAGTTTCCCAGAGGATCATCCGTTTCAGCGAATGAGGTGGAACGTTGGATCTGTCTCAAGCACCAAGATCTTCCTTAGGGCACTTCAATCATTAGCTACGACCAGCCTGGCAGTGGTTTGGAAGCTCATCCTGCCACAAGGAACAAGGAATCTGTCCTCGGCTTTTCAGCAGCTAGGGATGGAAACAATCAACAAAATATATAGTCCCTGCTGTTTTGCAAAATAAAATATATTCACAACTCTCCCCTCTCTCTTCATATTGTCAGGAGTGGGATAATAGTCTAGTAGCATTGTAATTTACATAGCTTCCACTTCTGACTACTGTCCAATCCAGATGAATGTCTTCCATCTTTCAGGATGATAGTGTAATACCACTCATTTACACAGACTCAGACCGCAATATGCAGTTATAAATGCAACACAAAATCAGACAGAATTGAAATGAACCAAAACATAGACTTGAAGTTACGCTTTCAACTATCTTGAAATGATTCTTGATTCAACTTGGAATGAACCTTGACGTAGACTTGAAATGTACCTTGGTTTGCACCATCTTTAACATCTAGGGTTGACAATACTAACGCCACTCAGCTTCATTGTACAATCTGTCAGTTTATTCTGGTCCATTTATTTCACATTTATTTCACTCGCGACACATTCGAACATTAACCATTTGCCCGACATAAAGACGACATCTTCAAATACTACAACCGTCTTCTCTGACTTCTCATGATCGACTGACCACGAGGCTAGCTCGGGCTTCGCCTCGCTTACTCCACCAGCCACAAGTATCTCGTGCCGTCACTTGTAGCACGGACTTCCTGCTTGCCACAATGTACTCGTGGAGACCATGCAAAGCAGGGTCATCACAAGAATGCTATAGAATTCTCTCTATAAATATTGAGAATTCTAGATAAAAGGGCTTGCCTTTCCTTCTTCCAGATATTCCACTGTGTGGTTACTTTTTGGTTGTATCCTGCTTTTGTGATGCTAAGAAAAACAGTTTCCCAGTGGGTAGTTTTCTCGGACAGCATGTCCTCAAAATCACAGCATTTAATATTGCTGTATAAGTAAAATAATACATGAATAACATCATGAATAATACATCAATAACCTGAAAACAAAATTCAGCACTTCTACAACAAGCAAACATTATGAATTATAGAGGTATGAGCATGAGAAGAACAATGTCTCCTATGAAATGTTACCATTGAAATGTTACCATTATCTACACAAACTCTGATAACCAGCCATAGATCATTCATCTACCAGCAATTGAAGATAGAGAATTTTCTAAGAGTCTTAGATACAGTAAATAGAAGTCACCTCTTAGATACCGAACAATAAGAATCAGGAATAGATCGTAAAGAAATGGTTTCCTGCCCATGTGCAGAAATGGGTCAGTGTGGTTTTTCCTCTGTCTGGTACAATTCTAATATTGTACGTGAAATGCGGCCCGAAAACTGAAATCACGATTTAATTAACAGTTACTGTGCTCACCTGGATTTAGATGTAACTATATGGTCATTCTGCTGGGGTTTTTAGGCGGCGGGAAAGACAAAGTTCTTCCAAAACGGCCCACTCTAACTCCTGCTTGCTGACCTGAAGTAAAATGGCTGGCGATCTCGTCTCACCGCGGGATTTCCAGTGTTGGCCAGGGTTTTTCCGCTACGTTGCCGAGTTTGCTAGCCGTATATTTTTATACGTGAAAGCTCAGGGGAATTACAAATAAATTCAATGGAAAATCCCCAAACAGCAACCGTAGGCTATAACCGGGATATCTCTCAATGTCGTATATGACGAAAATGACGTCACTAGGCATATGTAAAAGAGAAAATAGAAGGGTCACAAAAGGGTGGTACGTCAGCCAAAAGTATCTTGTCTACTTGAAGCGGCGTCTCGTGACAGTGGTGAAGAAATAAGAGAAATGTCTGAACAACTACTGGTAGTAACAGTTATAAGACAAAGTAGATAGTGCTATGTTTGATACATCATGAGAAGAAATAAGCAGCAAATCACCAGACAGGCACTAAAATGGGGAATAAAGGGATTGAGTAAGTGAAGATCTGCAAAGAAATCTGCTCTGGTCATGAACAGTTTTTCACAGAAATCACGCCAGTTTGAAACTTCCTGCTCCAAATCACACACCTGCTTGACTGACAGTCATGCATTACCATACTAGACCTTCATTTTTTAGATGAATTTCTAAAGGTTTCACACCTTCACTAATTTTAAAATAAAAAATGGATAACAGTATCTGCTGCTCGGCTTTGATGTATATCAAAAATGGGGCAGCCATCTTTAAGCTGTCATTATAATGTTGCCTTATTAATGATGTCACATGTGTAACACTCTTTACATCCTTTAAACAATAGGCGACAGCAGTGATTCCCAAACTGTGTGCCCCGGGAAGCTGCGACCTTTTTACAGGGGTGCCGCAAAATATTGTAAATGCTTCATAATTAATTTAACCAAGACATTTGACCTAACTAAACAAAAACGTGAGAAGCTAAAATTATCTAGATTTTTTTGGTGTGATTGGTTTTGAGCTCTTACTTATGAAAAGTCATACTTTTACTCAAGTCAGAACGTCGCCGAAAAATTTTAATTAGAAAAAGGCGCCACGACTTAGTAATGTTTGGGAAACACTGGGTTACAGGACTGTGGCATGGTTGTTGTAATTTTTGTTACACCCTTAAGGTTTTCCTTTGAAGCCTCTCCATTTGATACTTGTAGCTTTAGGGACTTCTGTATCCTAGGGCAAAAGAGGTAAGGTTAATGTTTGAATGGATGATAATTTTTAATTTGTTGTCAGCCTGACATTGTTGTCTTTTGTTTTGTCATTTCAGGTTGTGTATTTCACGGCCATATTCCCATACATTATGTTGACTGTTCTTCTTATTCGTGGAGTCACCCTTGATGGTGCTGTCGATGGAATTATTTATTATGTCAAACCTGATTTTAACCGGCTCGCAGACCCCAGGGTAATTTCTGTTTTGTTGTTGTTGTTGTTAAAAATTGTAAATTTTTAAAAAATGATGTTTGTAAAGTAAGGGGTAATTTCAAAGTTTTTTCAAAAAGCTCAGATGCACAGACAACATATCTCAAACATCGGCTTTTTATTATGTCAAACCTGACGTTAATCTGCTTGCAGACAAAAGGGTAATTTTTGCCTGTTTGGTAATCATTGCCTCCTTCGTCACTTATTTCAGCCAGACACTCTGGTTATTGTAAGCGACTATGTCTGCACTGATAGCATAGGGCTGGAATTAATACGCTTTGTATGAGATGTTTCTTTGTGCTGATAGGGATTGTCTTGTATTTGCTTTACTGCATCGGATGTTAATTTCTCTATCTAATTTCCCATCTTCTGTAAGTGTTGTTCCCAGATATTTTAACTCAGCGTCTTTAATGCCTTTGCATTTTCCTGCTATATTAAGGTTCTGTTTCTTTCTTCCTATTGACATTACAAATGTATTTTGAGTGTTGATTTTCACATTATTTGTTTTACATTCTTCATTCATGAATGTGAAATGTTGTTGCAATTTAATATCTGTATTTTCTATCAAAGCCTGGTCATCATTGAGTAGTAATTCATTAACATGTCTAATATTTTCGCTCCTTGGCTCGACATCCTTGCATATACTGTTGATGCACCTGAGATAAGACACATCCTTGTTTGACTCCAGATCACCCGCCAAGTGCCAATAGGTCTGTACAAATATGAAAAGTGGTAAATACAAGATACAATTTGACTAGTTTGCTCAACAGAGGGATGGAAAAAATGCGCACAGACACAATCAAATGTTTTGATCAAAATCTTCATCAATGGACTTCTAAATATAGCCACACAAACTGTGACTAGAAAACTCATCTATTTTTAATTGTATGAATTTATTAATTAATAAAAATTGTTTATATTATTCACTTTCTTTGAATTTTTTTTTTTTAAATCCACGCCTGCTTGCTTATTTAGTTTTCTTATATAACCCATTATGTCCATACACTCCCCTCCCCTAATCCCATTATGTATTTCACGGTTTCATGTTGAGTTTGGTTGTTTAGAAATTCTGTTGTCCTATCTCAGTTTGTGTTTTTTGTATTTAGTACTCCATGGATAAAGACTTTGGTAAAAATGTCCTGTTGTATTTGTATGTGCCATTTCCATCCCTCCATTGAGCTGTCTAGTCACATTTTATGTTATATTTAGCACTTCCTGTCATCAACTCGACTGCGGGCCTCCCCCCCCCCCCCCCCCCCATTTATGTCATCACTATTGCAAATATATCTGGTATCTTAGGCCCCTGCTCCGCTGGCATAAAAAAGGCCCTTTAATTATCTTAAGTAAAGTAAAGTATCCTTTTCCACACCTTTAGGCTTATAGGGCAAGACCTTTATTTCATGGACCAATTGGCACTCTGTGGGTGATATGGGCAACATCACGCCAGCTGCTTTTACTACAACTGGTACATTTTTAAGGCTGGCAAATTGGCAGTCAAGATCATTTTTGAAAAAAAAAGTCTGGCTAATTACTGTGATGTCTGTGGCTTAGAGGCTGCAAATGTGCTTCATAATTTCGAGGTACCCAGTTTGATTCCAGCTGCAGACGATTTGGCAACAGACTGTGCTGCATTGTTTTTGACTGGTATTGACAAATTATTGAACATATGCCTGGTAAAACCAAAACATCCAACAAATTCTGAGTTGGTTCTGCAGCATCCTTTAAAGGATACTTAACAAACGTAAGACATGCATGAGTCCTTTACTTTCTTCTTCTTCTTCTTCTTTTTTCTTCTTCTTTTTCTTCTTCTTCTTCTTCTTCTTCTTCTTCTTCTTCTTCTTCTTCTTCTTATTCATCACTTTTTTTTTTTATCTATCTAGGGTATTCTCATCATTCATCTATAGTTTCAAAAGTTACTTATAAATAACTTCGGGGCACTCTTCCGAATACCGGTCCCAAATTATTGGCTGCGAAAAACATCCCTTTGGAAGCCTCAAGAGGTTATGTAGCAACAACATTTAGGCCCTCATCATCAGTTTCCACTTCTGTGGTAATAGCACGAAGGATAGCAATGTTTAGACGTTAAGCTAAGCGCAGTAGGGAGGAATAGTTCTCGATCCATTGAAGTAATTTAAGGAAGACTAGATTTTGATCCAATGTTGAAGCGTTGTGGGGAGGAGTAGTTTTCAATGCATTATAGGGATATGGGCAGCGACAACTGTGACTCGCCTTGTGGGTTCCAGGGCCACATGTTTGAGAAAAAAATAATGTTTTTCGCAGTGAATAATTTGGGACCGGTATTCGGAAGAGTGCCTAACTTCGGTTTTACATTTATTTAAAACAAAAATGAATCTCAAGAAATGACTTTGTATTTGTACAGGTATGGAGCGATGCAGCGACACAGATTTTTTACTCCTAAGTGCCTGCTCAGGAGGTCTCATAGCAATGAGCAGTTTCAACAAATTTACTAACAGCTGTCACAGGGATGCCATTATTGTGGCAGTTCTCAACAGCTCGACCTCCATCTTTGCTGGCTTTGTCATCTTCTCCATTCTTGGTTTCATGGCACATGAGAAGGGTGTAGATGTCAGTGCAGTTGCCAAAGGAGGTAATCTTGTTAAAATGTCTGAATTTTATGTTTTTTTTAAAAATGTTTTTAATTTTTAATTTTGCTATTTTCACCTTGCGAATGCTAACAGAGATGGGATCTTGAACCAATAGGAATTTGCAATTAAAAAGGTAAAAAAAAAAAAAAAAAAACTAGTTTAAAAAAAAACTATTTCTCATCAGTAACTAATAACAGGGCTCGTAGTGACCATTGATTCCTTGAAAATCTTTTGAAATGCAACTTGCTCTTTCAAGGCCTTCAAAAGACCTGAAAAGTTCAGAGAAGGACTAATGTCCTTTATGTTTGCCGTCTGTAACCTTGAAATAAAATTGAAACGAATAAGATAAGAAAAAGGTTGTTTATTATATCCATATGTTAGACAGTCATTATCACTACATCAAAGTCCCCCGTGTGGGTTCTGGGGCCCCATTGTGAAGAAAACAAGAATAGACCCACTGCCTAACCAAAAGTAGGGATGCTAATGAAGTTTTATATTTTGGGTTTTTACTTACGAAACCATAACAGTTAGATATAGATTACAATTACAAATCCAATGGTACCTCATTTAAGCCTGTAAGTCGATTCTAAGCAGAGATATTAACATTTTAGTGGCGGATACCACCACAGACAAGTTATAGTGGAAATGGACAAAACATGGATTCCCGGCTGTGACCCAGTAAGATAAAATGACTTAATGTTTGCATTTTACGGCCAAAACTTTTTTGTTTCTGAACGAATCCCTTAGCAACCATATATTGCTGGAATCGGGACAGTGAGACCTAACTGTTTATGCATGTCTCAAATACATACACTACAACCTGTGCCTATTTAACATATAAAAATGGCCGCACGCTGATTATTTTTCATTAAAAACCTGAAACATTTACAGTTGTCTGCCAACGAGCCTCGCTTAATACATATCATATTGTGTGTCCTGGCAAGGCGAACATAAAGATCATATAAATGTGCCAATGTCAATTGAGGTGACCTAATTAACATATAAAAACGGCCTCCATCTGCCTTTTTTCCAGCAAAAACCTTATATATTTACGGTTGTCTGCCAGTGAGCCTGGCAAGATGCACATCATATTGTGTGTCCTAATAAGGCGAACATTAAGTTCATATAAGTGTGAGTTGACGTGACCTAATTAACATATACGGCACCCCCCAGGGTGGTCGTATCTCCACACAATAATGACTCCCCCTCCCCCTTTCGCAATGATGATACCTTGGTGGCCGCACCCCCTTCCTGCTACCTTCTTCCCCCTGTATTTCTCCTCTTCTTTCTTTCTTTTTCCTTTCCTTTCCTTTCTTTATCCCCATGTCTCAGTGCCGACTTTCTTTTCTCAGTTTTTTTTGTTTCCCTTCCTCTCTCCTCCTCCTGCTCCCCCTCTTTCTCAACTTTCTCTCAGTCTTCTTCTTTCCCCTCCCCCAACTCTCCATTCTGTATGGTAGAAGAAAAAATGAGCCCACTGGTAGTACACGGCCTGTTTTCATAATGGGGCACTGACAGTGTTAACGACAGGGCAAACACAACAGGTGTGTTCATTTCTGGGAATCAGGTCAGGCCGGATTTTCTTTTCTTTAAAAAATGACCTTGGCTCCCATGTTCACCCAGCATTGAATTTAAGAAATGGATCTATAGCAGCCACACGCGGACAGCCAAGCATGGGAGGGTTGCCAATGGGATTTTCGTCAAACCCGAAGCTAAGCTGACCAAAAAACCCAAGCAAAACATAAGCAAAAAAAAAACAAAAAAAAACCCATATTTTAAGTTGAAATGAAAACATTTACCCCCTTTTAAATAGGATATATATATATATATATATAGTTATATATAATATATATATATATATATATATTTATATATATATATATTATATATATATATATATATATATATATATAATAATATATATATATATATATATAAAAAACAAAACAAGATTCCAAAATCTTAACCCAATGTGTCGTATAAAAACCCAGTTCTTGGGGGAAAGCCCAAGTGCTGGCAGGCCTGATGGACATGAACGCGGTCAGCGCTGCTGATGTTTCTCGACCACTTAGATTTACCGATTTCGACAGAAAACTCCATGGATTCTAAATAATAACAGACGCATAAAAAAAATGCTATAAGAGTTGTAGATGTTTAAAAAGTAACTCACTTAACATTATTAATTTACTAAGTATCTGAAGTTAATTACTAAAGAATCATCTTAGAAAATGCGCAATGATGGCTGAAATTAATTATTGGGATTTGGGGGTGATCAGGAAAAAATATCTCCAACAGAAAAAATACGAAGAGCTCTAAATAATGACAGATGCATGAAAAAATGCTACAATGGTTGTGGATTTTTAAAAAATGAAAATAAATAAAATAACCTTAGCTAATTTAATAATTATTTTAAGTTAATTATAAAGCAGGACAAACGGTCTTCTAGTGCAAACATATTGGATTTAAAGCAAAAACAATATTCCACAAAACATTTTTTTAAAAACATTTGCCCTCAGCCAATCTTTGTGAAATTTCCCATACATATAATATAATAATATAAAAATTAACGCAGAATTCAAAAATACACCACAAATTGCCTTAATCTGGCTAATTAAGAAGATATTTACGAACTTACCGTTAATTTACTGCGTGCTGCCCAAAAAATTGATTTATCGTATGCGCGTCATAACCATGTCAGGTCAAAGCCTAGCATCTCTCCAATAACTCCTAATAATTGTTCCGATTTGATCTTCCACGTAAAGAGCACGGAAAAATAATTTCTCACTAACGATCAATTCTGGCTGTTTTTGTCGGTCGCAGTGGCGTCCCTAGTTACGGATGAAAATGTAAAGCAAAATAAACGAAACAAAACATGACGCATTGCTATACCTACCAAAAGCATGTCGTAAGAGTCGACTAATTGGGAGCTTCCTTTGAAGTCGGAGTGCATCTGCCTGAGGGGCAAGAAACCAACAGTCTGCATTCAAGTGAATCATATCTGTAAAACAGTTGCACACGCAACACTCAGGTTCTGGAGCAGGACTGCAATTCACAAGTGGACAAACAACCAGAACTTTCTGCCAGAGTTTACAGTTGGTGAACGCGAAGAAGAAGAAGAAGACAACATCAAAGAACAAGGCCAAGCTTTATAGTGAAAAAGTGAAGTATAGTGAATAAGTGAAACAGCTCCTCACCTCTTCCGAACCAAAATGAAAGACATTTGTCAGGGAACAGGAGTAATTGCACTGTGCTTGGGGATGGAATGGGGAATTGTTTCGGTACAAAATCAGGTGGGTGTTTTCTTTGATGTTTTAAAAAAAATATTAGTTTTATTCTTTTGGTATTTTATTTTTAGCAATCCTACTGTTTCACAAAGACAGCAAGTGAAATGGTTTGCCCACTTAGAGAGAATGCCTTGTGACACCATACCATACAAAGCATACATGGAAAGAGAAGAAGGACGTAGAGCACGGGGTAGACCAAGAACAAGATGGAAGGATAACATCAGAGAAACTCTATAACAGCACGACTTGCCTATGGTCGAGGCAGCCAGAAGAGCTAGAAACAGAACCTTATATCTCCCTCGACACCCACAGCGGTAAAAGAGGAAGTGAAGAAGAAGAAGAAGAAGACTGTTTCACCCGATTGACTGACAGATTTATTATAATAAGAGTAGCAACTAGGAGGCAGTGACCACCGGCCAGTCTTTCTAACTATCGAAAGCCAGTCTGTAAGAGAGAGCAGCACACTGCCAAGGTGGAATTTTAAGAAGGCAGACTGGAAGTTATATCAGCTTCGCACAAATGTTCTGCTGGAAAATCTTAACACAGATAACGACCTTTCTTCCCCCTCTCGCACTTTATCACTCTGTCACCCTCTGTCTCTCTTTCTGTATTGCTTTCTGTATGTCTCTCCTCACTTCTTTGTATCTTTATGTGTCTATCTCTCCCTCAGTATTCATCTCTTGTCTTTCTCTTCCTTTCTCTGTCTCCTGTGTTTGTTTACCTCTTTCTCTCCTTCCCTGTGTACCACTCTCTCCCTCCCTTTTTCTGTTTGGTTTGCTTTTCTATCTCCCTTCCTCTCTTAATCTCTGTGTCTGTTTGCCTCTCTCTTTCCCTTCCTCTGCATCTATTTTTATATATGTTTGACTCTCTCACTTCCTCTCTGTATCTCTCTGTCTGTAAGCCTCACTCCCTTCTACTAAATATGTCTTTCTTTTTGTCTCTTTTCCTCGCTTTCTCACTCTCTGTATCTCACTGTGTCTGTTTGTCTCTTCTTCTATATCGCTCAATTTATTGTTTGACTCCCTCACTCTTTTTCTCTGGGTCTCTCTGTCTCTTGCTCTCTCCCTACCTTGATCTATCTGTTTGTCTCTCTCTTACTCACTCTCTCTGTGTATCTCTCTGTGCCTGCTTCTCTTTCATCCCACCTCTCTGTATGCTTCTCTGCTTGCCTCTTTCCCTTACTCTGTGTACCTTTCCAAGTCTGTTTGTCCCGTCTCTCTCCTGCCATCTGTCTTCATCTCTGTTTTCTCCTCTCCCCTCCTCTCTGTACCACCTTCTGTGTCTGCCTCTTTTTCCTTCTCTCCCACCCTCTATCACCCTCTGTCTATCCCCCTCTTAGTGTCTTTATCATCTCTGCCTGCCCCCTCTACTTTTTACTCCTCCCTCTCTGTCTTTCTAACTCCCTCTCTATCTGTCTTTCTAACTCCCTCTCTATCTGTCTTTCTAACTCCCTCTATCTGTCTTTCTAACTCCCTCTCTATCTGTCTTTCTAACTCCCTCTCTGTGCTTCACCCTCCCTCTTGTTCAGTCACTCTCTATATCTGCTCCCCCCCCCTCTCTCTCTTTGTCTATCCTTTCCTTTCCTATATTCCTGTATCTTTTTCAGTCTCTCTCTCTCTTTCTTCTTCTCTCTCTCTCATATCTGGTCTAGAGCAGACAGCATTTGCGTGACTCTCCCATTTCACTCTGTCATCTGATATTTTGAGGAAATTGATTTTACTCACCTTTTTAAGCTTTCTACATGCATCTTTTTTCTTCTTTCTCTGCCTATCTTATCAAGTGTTTTCTCCTTTTAGTTTGTGGCTGCTTTACTGCTCAATAAATTATATTTGTCCTTGTTGTGGACTGGTTCTGGGCTCATCCTCATCTGGGGAAGAAGAGAAGAATAGGATCGTTTCTGAATAGTATTGCTTTCCAAGAGGGTTCTGGGGCCCATTCTGGGAGATGGAGGGAAAAAAAAGAAGAGTAGACAACTGTTCCTTATCAAGCATATCATGAAAGATGACTAATCAGGGATCTGGTGAAATCAATTGTGCTGGGCCAATAGGTGCTTATATTGCAACCTATTTGTAAACCACACCACAATGTGCCAGTTTGTCTCTTAAAGGTGAACATGAAAGAAAATGAAAAAGGGTTTACTTGATGAGGTTTTTCCACCAGTCTCTTGTCATAACAACTTGTGTGTGTGTGTGTATGTGCGTACAACTGTTTCTTGTTTATCCCAGGTCCAGGGCTTGCATTTGAAGTCTACCCAGAAGCCCTCTCACGTATGGTTGTGGCTCCACTGTGGGCAGTATTCTTTTTCCTGATGATGGCGACTCTGGGTTTTGGCTCACAGGTATGTTTCATTGTCGTAGTTTTGGCTCACAGGTATGTGTTTCATTGTCATAGTTTTGGCTCACAGGTATGTGTTTCATTGTCATAGTTTTGGCTCACAGGTATGTGTTTCATTGTCGTTTCATACAGAAATATCATCACCACACTCTGGGTTTTCCCTCACAGGTATGTTTCATTGTCGTTTCGTACAGAAATATTATCACTACACTCTGGGCTTTGGCTCACAGGTATGTTTCATTGTCGTTTCATACACAAATATTATCACTACACTCTGGGCTTTGGCTCACAGGTATGTTTCATTGTCGTTTCATACGCAAATATTATCACTACACTCTGGGCTTTGGCTCACAGGTATGTTTCATTGTCGTTTCATACACAAATATTATCACTACACTCTGGGCTTTGGCTCACAGGTATGTTTCATTGTCGTTTCATGCACAAATATTATCACTACACTCTGGGCTTTGGCTCACAGGTATGTTTCATTGTCGTTTCATACACAAATATTATCACTACACTCTGGACAATTTCACACGGGTCTCAGTCTCAGTCAGTGGATGATTGGTGATTATTGTTGTTTAGCACTTTTCATGTGAATTCTTTATTCTTTCATTTTTCCTTTTTCTTGTTCCCCCCCCCCTCCCCCCATCCCCAGCACTCTTTTTTCTTTTCTTTGGGGTCTCCGTGGCTAATGGTCAAGCCGTTTTGTCTCACACTCTTAAAGTTGCATGTTCATTTGTCCTTTGCCCTTTAATTCACGAGTGCTATTTGTATGGAGATTCCTGGGGATACAGAGTTTTGTGTTTTGTCTGAAGCTCTTGGCAGGTAGGTGGCTAGCCATTCTGTGGAGAGAGACCCGGCAGTATGGGATAAAACCTGGTGCCATGAAGTGGATCATCTGGACTTGACCTTTCTTTCTTTCTTTCTTTCTTTCTTTTTTTCTTTCTTTCTTTCTTTCTTTCTTTCTTTCTTTCTTTCTTTCTTTCTTTCTTTCTTTCTTTCTTTCTTTCTTTCTTTCTTTCTTTCTTTCTTTCTTTCTTTCTTTCTTTCTTTCTTTTTTCTTTCTTTCTTTCTTTCTTTCTTTCTTTCTTTCTTTCTTTCTTTCTTTCTTTCTTTCTTTCTTTCTTTCTTTCTTTCTTTCTTTCTTTCTTTCTTTCTTTCTTTCTTTCTTTCTTTCTTTCTTTCTTTCTTTCTTTCTTTCTTTCTTTCTTTCTTCTTCTTTTCTTCTTCCTCTTCTTTCTTCTTTCTTCTTCTTCATGCTGTTGTACCTTTCTGTTATCAGACATGTCATCCTGGTCGAAACTTACATGCTAGTATTTCACATTAATTGTTTCTTTTACTTTTCATCTTTTCATCATTTGAGACATACTAGCTATATGCAGGCCTTGTTTTTTAAATAAAAAGAAAAACTTTTCAAGATGAATTGCATTTCTAGTTCCAGACTTTTTGTGTTCGCACCTCTGATGGCCGCCTTATGCATTTAGTGCTTGTGTGTGCTACTGGTTTTGTTGACACTGCAGTCTGTGTCAGTTTTTCTCACAAGGGACGGTGATGGACATTTTTATGTTGTTGATGGACATTTTTATGTTGTTGATGGACATTTTTATGTTGTTGATGGACATTTTTATGTTGTTGATGGACATTTTTATGTTGTTGATGGACATTTTTATGTTGTTGATGGACATTTTTATGTTGTTGATGGACATTTTTATGTTGTTGATGGACATTTTTATGTTGTTGATGGACATTTTTATGTTGTTGATGGACATTTTTATGTTGTTTTCATTGGCACAGAAATAGAGCAACTATGGGGCGACCCATTTGCTATGATTTTGGAACTCTGATTACCTATATTCTTCTTTGAGTTCATCATCATCATGTAGCAGGTCCTTTGCAGAATGTCGCTCTCAACTCTGTCTGCCTGAAAGAAACGTGGTCTTTCGCCAGCTCTCCCACCTCGTTTACTTTTATATTCAAGGACTTATATCCTGTGCCCATCTTTATGTTGGTCGACCCCTGCCCCTCCTTTCTGGTACCATGCCTTCTGCAATTAATTTTTCCAATCTGCCGAAGCGCTTGATGTGACCAAAATATTTCTTTGAGTTCACTGGCTGTAAACTCCAGCAGAAAGTTCGGGTTACTTGTCCACTTTTGGACTCAAGTCCTGTTCCAGAACCTGAGTGTTGCATGCACACCCATTTATCAAATCTGACTTATTTGTATGCAGACTGTTGGTTCCTTGCCTGTCAGGCAGATGCACTGTGACTTAAGGAAGCTTCCAATAAGTCAAGTCTTACGAAATGCTTGTTGGGTAGGCAGTGGGTCTTATCTTGTTTTCCCTACAAAAGGGCTCCGCAACCCACATGGGTAGTATTTAGCTGACTACACAGATTACTAAAAGTGACTTGCAGATATCTTCTCCTTAAAGACCATGCCATGTGGCATTGGTTGTCATGTCTATCCACAACCTTCTGTCTTATGTACTTTCAATCAATTCTGACACAGGCCTTCCATGCCATGATGTCAGACTGTCCAGTATCTGTTCTCTCTTTCTACTTCTGCCTCTCTTCCCCTCTAACTTTCCTACTGTCACGGTGTATTCCAGTTTTCTCCTTCTCATCACATGACCAAAGAATGAAGATTGTTTCTTTCTGATGTGGGCAATCAGTTCTCTTCGTCAGTCAGTTTCTTTCCAGATGTCTTTATTACTCTTTTTATCTGTCCATGGTATTCTCATCTGTAGTGAATCTCATTTTCTCATGGGAATTGCTGATAGTCAAACTTTGCGTGAAGTATAATTATTCACGTGTAGAGAAATGCTGACAGTCAAACTTCATGTGGAGTGTGATTATTCACGGGGATCACAAATAAAGTGCTGGCCAAATAGAATTCGGGTAAATCAGGGAACATAGAGAATTCGGGAATACAAAGAGGGGCATTAGAAGGCTATATAATGCTTTAGAAAGGGCTGGGAGTCAGTCTCGTTTGGGCCCAGGAACGAAGTGCATGGACAACGGTGGAAGATGTGTGCATCCAACATGTGTTTGAGTGAGAGTGTTGTTCCAACGTCCAACTTGGCAAAACAAGCTAGCAGGCAAGATGTCTACCGGCCATGTTAGTTTTCCGTCAGGACAGCTGTTGTGTTTTCGTTCATGATGCTTGTGGTAGGACGTTTGTGATTTCTGCTAAAAGGTAACAATGATACTTTTGATATTTGAGTTATAATGTGTGCCTGGACAGTAGGCTATTTCATGTGCCGGCTGAGGATAAATAAACTTGTATGCTGCCTCCACAAGGAAGCGTGGTTACAGTATACTTACTGCTGTCTTTTGGAAAACATGTTGGAGATCCTAGTTTGTACTCTGGTGCAACTCTCGTACCACTATCTTAGTGCTACGAGAAAAATGTTTTTAATAAATCACTCACTACAGAATTTAAATCCCGGTGTGTCAATGATTGTGAAATTGTCAAATGCATTCACTGAAAGAATATTAGTTGTATATTTGACCCAGTTTGGACTTGTAGATTCTCAAATACTGGAGCTACTCAATGTGATTATTGTTTAGCCACCTCAAGGGATGCTTTATATACTAGAGGTTACAAATTACTTTTGAATGTGTCTGCCCACTGTAGGAAAAACAAGAATAAACCTACTGCCTCCCTAACAAGCATGTCATAGGAGTAGACTTCTTCTGCTTCTATCGTTCGCCTCAAATATGATGTCTATATCAGCAATTTTGTCTTTGTCTCTTGTATAAATTTTACTGTCGTTGTTAGTTCATTCAGTGGTCCAAAGAGTTTATGTTCCACTTTTGTTCTTTCTGGCCAAAAGGTTTGCCTTAATGTGTCAAATTCTAGAATTCGAAGTTGAAATGCACCTGCCCGAGCGGCAAGAAGCAATCAGCTGTACACAAATAAGCCAGTAAAATAGATGTACACGAAAAACTCAGGCCCTGGCACAAATGGACGAACAACCAGGACTTTTGAATATTTTACTAACTTAAATGTGTGTCTTGAAACTTCACTTTTTTCATGATCTCTATTTTCTTACAGTTCTCCATCGTCGAGTGTGTGATGAGTGCCCTTTTAGATGAGTTTCCCAGGATTACGCGATCTGTCAAGACCATGATAACTTTCCGTTTGTCTGTGGTCGTCATTGGATTCGGCCTTGGCCTTCCCATGGTGTGCAGTGGAGGAATCTATCTACTGGAGCTGGTCGATTACAGTGTGGGTGGTTTCCCTTTGCTTATCGTCGGCATTGTGGAGTGTATAGCAATCAACTGGATTTACGGTATGCGATGCTGTCCTGGGAGTTGGGGTGGGGCAGGGACTTCCTCTTCTTTTCTACTGCAGTTTTTCTTCTTCTGCATTCATCCATTCTTCTTTTTGTGTTCGCTTTCTGATTTACACCAGCAGACAGGTTTTTGTGATAAGCATTAATCCATAAAAGGGCAGTTAGCATGTTTTGCTGTGGTTTACAGCTAGGCTGTGATATCTGTCTTTTCAGCTCAACACATCCGATTTTAGAAAAAAAAACAGTTTAGTCACATTTTGCAACATACTTTTTCTGATCACTAGGATTCGGTTGATTATACTTCACAGTTTTGGTTGGTGCCACTGGCTGTTTATATAACCTTCTGGTCTTTTTGATAGCAGTACACTTTATCTGCTTCACCGCAGGTCAGCCAAGATTATCCAGCAATATTTGCTGTTATATACCACTGGTGAACACAAGAGTGGGTCCATATGCTGAATGCATCTTCTTTTATGGATTTACGTCAAGTCAAGGCCACCTTTTGAAGTGGTACAACTTTTGAGGTGGTGAGCCTTTTGAGGTGGTGATCTTTTTGAGGTGGGTTGGTGCGCCTTTTGAATTGCTGCACCTTATGAGGTGGTGCACTTTTTGAGGGGGTGTGCCTTTTGAGATGGGGTGGTGTGCCTTCTGAGGTGGGTTGGTGCGCCTTTTGAGATGCTGCACTTTTTGAGGTGGTGCACCTTTTGAGGTGGTTCACCTTTTGAGGTGGGTGCACTTTTGAGGTGGTGTGCCTTTTGAGGTGGTGCACCTTTTGAGGTGGGTGCACCTTTTGAGGGGTGCACCTTTTGAGTGGTGCACCTTTTGAGGGGGTGTGCCTTTTGAGGTGGTGCACCTTTTGATGTTGTGTGTGCGCCTTTTGAGCTGGTGCCACCTTCAAAGTCTGTCAGTGTGTGTATACTTGGCATAATATAAATAGACAGACAATATTCAGTAATTTGCCACCAATTCATCGTCCTAATGTGTTCGTCCATGAATAAACTTGACTGATGCACTAGCATAGATGACTTTTTAAAGTCTATCTAATATAGGTTTTCACGTTTTGTTTTTATAGTGTTGGTGGTACGATGTTGCCTATCTGTACCTGAGCTACCTCAGTACTCTCCTAAATGAAGCCAGGAGACATCGTGAACTTTTACCTTTGTGATTATAGTATAATCATCATCCTAGATACTTTTATCAGATATGAGTTACCTCCCCTTGTTTCACATAATACTTGGGCATGATTCCTTCCAAGCTGCAGTATTTCTACCTGAGAGGTAAAGAACTAACAGGTTGTATACAAATAAGTTAGATGTGTAAAACAGGAACTCGCACAAAACTCAAGTTTTGGAACAAGTCCAAAGTCCAGAATTGGATGAACAACGTGAACTTTTGGCCAGAGTTTACAGCAGGTGAACATAAGGAAGAAGAAGTGGAAGACGTTGAACCCTTATTGTCGGAAATTTTAAATTGACCTGTCCTCCTACGTCGACTATGTATAAAATTGTTACAAGAAAAGTCTTGAGAAATACAAAGAGGTCAGCGAGATACTTAGTAGATCACAGACTGTGCTGATTAGCCTATAAAAATATGACAGTAACACCATATGCCTTATAAACTCAAAATGCTGTCTCACTTGGCAAATTTCTCCGTATGAGACACTGATTATTCCAGTAACACTGTTATTGTAAACACATCATGGTTGTTCCCTCATAACTCCCTTTTTTAGTTTTAAATTCAAGCCTCCTTAGGCACCCAGTTCAACCGAAGATGCTGTCTTACTGGCCAAGTTTCTCCATGTAAGATGCTGATTATTCCATGAACACCCTGGTTGTAAACCCTTCACTTTTGTCCATTCATAATTCCCTCTTTGCCAAACTAGATTTAAAGCAATTTTTTCCCATTGTAAATTTTAACAAAGAAGACACAAACAATAGATTGCACAATTTATTGCCTGGTATATTTGGCTGCATCTTCATTGAAATATGCCAGGCAATAAATTGTGCAATTTATTGTTTGTATTCTTTGTTCAGTCAAGATTTAGTTTATAATTTAAACATCCTAACATAAATTATTTCAGTTTTAATTATTATTTATTGGCTCTTCCCTTAGCAGATATTTATGTCTTCAAATACCTCTTTTATTCAACACAATCTAAGCTTCCAGGCCAGCTAAGTCTCCCTAAAATGGTTACCATGAAATGTCTCTGGAAGTTCAGGCAACTGTCATGATCTTAACCCAGATGACAGGCAACAGACTTCAATGAGGGCAGTCTTGGTTGGGCTGGGCAGAGACAGCAGGCTGGGCAGAGACAGTAGGCTGGGCAGAGACAGCACTTGAATGGGTGATTTCCCTATAAGACATAAACCGTGGCAAGGAATGGATCCTCATACCAAACAAATACAAGCCGTACTTTGTGCTGGTTATCACCCTGGCAAGACATTGCTGTGATTTGGCGCCACCAATAGTTGATGCAGAACACGCATTAGCGGAAGATGCTGTTATTTATGCAGATGATTCTTTGGTTCATTAAAAGTGAAGGGCATGGGCTTTCATGGCAAGAACCAAAGGGAAAGTCATTACCACTAGCAGCATGACAATGGAGGTCATGGCTGTAACAAAGGCCCTAGAATGGCTGAAAACTCAGAAATTCGTCAATGCATGTTTGCTCAGTGACTCAATGAGGATGATCAAGGCAGGATGTGTACAGAAACAGTGGCTCAATCTAATACAGCACGCAGCGTTTCATAAAATCAGGTTAATTTTTGCCCCAGGTAATGCTGGTGTGAAAGGCAATGAGAGAGCAGACACCATGTGACTATCAGGAATGGGCCATCTATGAACAGGAGAGACATCGTCAAAGCTATACGTAAGACTAAATGCTGTGAGGCTTTCAGTTTCGTGGAAAATGATTTTCCACTGGATAGACTGCACACCCTGGGTTTACTAATTAAAGCAGCGTGACAGGAAAACCATGCGGGAGACACCCATTGTTACATCAGCCAGAACGGAATGGCAGTTGCTAGCTTAAAAACACTTGGAGGCATACTCAGCAGGAAATCGGAGCACTTATGGTCATGTCTGGTGTGCAATAAAGATGAACTTTAATTGAATAGTGAACATCATGTCTGGTGTGCGATAAAGATGAACTTTAATTGAATAGTAAACAATGAAAAATAACCCACATCACAAGTGCCAGTTTGGATATACAAATATGTTTCCAGCACCATATAATTACAGATATAAAATGGGACATTCTTGATATCTCTATTTATATTATATCAGTATTGATATCTGTGTTTATAATTTAAAAGTCTATGGTTAAGCACCAGCAGGGAAATGAAAAATTTTGAGAGCATGCATCTTCCCCATAGCAACACACGAATGTAAGTCATGGGCCATCTGTGACTCCTTGGATATGAAAGTACACAAGCTGGGAGAGCTGGCAAGAGACCGAGTTTCTTTCAAGCAGACTGTGATAGGAGCGACATCTTGCAAAGGATGATGTTGATATTATATTAGTTTTCTTATCTGAATTTATGTTTATGTCAGATTTCTTATTTGTATTTGAAATGAAATTAGTTTACAAATTTATTTTCTTACCCGTACTTGTTTTCTTGGCCAGGTTTCAAAAACTTCTGGAGGGATATTGAAATGATGATCGGGAATACCCATAAAATTTACTGGAAAACATGTTGGACTGTTGTCTCCCCTTTAGTCATTTTGGTGAGTTTTATTGTTTTTTTTCTTCGTATTCTTTACTGGATTTGCTGAACCAATCCCAGCATTTGTTGGCTGTTTTGATTTTACTATACAGGTTTACATTCAGTAGTCTGCCATAGCTAAGTTTGATCTTATCTTAAATTGTCACTTTTCTGTGAAACCATAAGGGAAATTGTTTAATGATCTCTCTACTTCTTATTTTGATGAAGTCTATTGGGTACTCAACATACTGATGTTTTTGGTCATCAGACAGTGAATGTGGTAAAAACTGGCCAGCAACTTTTTTTGGGGGCCAAAATCTTGCACTAAAATTTTATGAATGGTCTCTCTATTAACACCAGATTCATCTGTCATCATCCTCACAGTAAAACAATGATCTTCTTGTATCAGTTTTCTGACTTTTGCAATGAGTTCATCATTAGGAACAGAAATTTGGTGTCCAGGTCTAGATGCACTAGTAATTTTTTCTACACCACTTTTGAATCGTGAATACCACCTAAACATTTGTGCACGAGATAAACAATTATTCCCATAAACTTGTTGCATCAATTCAACTGTTTCAATGGTGCTTTTTCTGAGTTTTAGAAAGAATTTAATGTTAGCGTTTTGCTCCATGCTGATTACGTAACAATGCACCTCTGACTTGGTCAACAAAATGGTGGCTTGTTTGTTGTCTGCTTATCAAACGGCTATGAGAAGTTGCTAGATCATAGACGAATGTCGCCTCTTTAGATTCCATCCTTTGCTTCATAGATGACATTTTTGTCTTGCCCACAATAAATTCAGTCTCATTACTTAATTGTCGGACCTTGTATTAATACTCTGAGATCCAAAGAAGACAGGTGAAAAGTTCTGTATGGTTATTTTAAGTTTTTATGTGAGTTATCTACGCTGGTCTCCACTGACATAGAGTATGTCCTGTTGACATTGTGGATAGTTGAAGTGTCCACAATCTGGACTCTTCCAATGCCTCACTATAGATATTCAACACTGAAGGGGAAACAAAAGTAGAATTTGTTGCCGCTAGCTCCAACTCTATTGACAGACAAGACGAGCGAGCCTGCCACACAATCTATGACACATTTACTTCTAAGCAAAATTAACTTGTAAGAAATTATGTTTGATCAGTCTGAGGGGCTTGGCTTTGAAAATTATTTGAAAAACTTTCCATGAGTCAAACCATGGTGTTAGACGATAAGCAATGTTTGCCTACACTTATTTTTATATAACTTGATGATGGCAGTGATACTGGAACTATCAGCACATCATTTTGCCATAATGGTTGAGGATGAAGCAGCTACAAGTTTACATTGAGTGTTATGATGATGACAGTTCTATTAGAACTACCAATCTAAGCTAAAATTTCAGGGGGTGATAGATCATCGTCAGTGCTGTGTTTTATATTCCAGATAACGATCATCGTCAATGCTGTGTTTTACAAAGAGCCCACATATAACGGTCTCCCGTATCCACAGTGGGCCAACATCCTGGGCTGGCTGATCGTCATGTTTCCAATTTCAGCGATTCTCTTATGGTTTTGCTACTATTACTGCAAGAAAGGAGGCTTTCGAGTAAGTACTTTCCTAAACTCTTTCCTTTCTGTGTGGACTCTGGGGCCCTGTTGTGGAAAAACAACAATAGACCCACTGCATCCCTAACAAGCATGTCCTATGAGTTATCTAATTAGGGGCATCCTTTGAAGCTGGAGTTCATCTTCCTGAAAGGCAAGGAACCAACAGTCTGCATACAAATAAGTTTGATATGTCAAATGGATTTGCATGCAACATTCAGATTCTAGAAGAGAAGTTTACAAGAGAGGCAGTCCTGTATTTATTCCAAATAAAAGGCTACCAAGTTAGGCAGCATATTTTAAAGAGCTACTTAACCCTGAAAATGAGGCAGACAACATCAGTTTTGTGCTTCGAAGCAGTGACCAACATGAACCAAACTTTTAAACTTGAGAAGTAAAAACTGTTATACAGAAGAGTCCTAAAAACAAAGCACCTGGTTTAGATGGAATAACTATAGAAGATACTCAAGCATGTGGTCAAACTGGCATACTGTTTGCATCCAACTAGACAGAAAATTCAAACAACAGAGTCCGGCTGCTGTGGAAGCAGAAGTTCAAGCCTTGATTTTCGAGAACGCTCAAGAGGGTGATGATGTCATTTACACAGATGGTTCTGTAATCCGCCACCTTGGAAGCTTGTGGGCTTTCACAGCTCAGTGAGAGAGTTGTGAAGGAAGATTCTAGAGCTTTTGCCATAACTACAAGTAGTCTGACTATGGAGGTCATGGCTGTGCCTAAAGCAGTAACATGGCATGAGACACAGACTTTCACTGGAGCATGCTTTTTCAGTGACTCGATGAGTATGCTCAGGAAGATAAAGAATGGCTGGGTCCGAAGGCAGTGGCTCTACAGAATTCACGGCTGACAAGGATTAGTTTCATTTTCGGGCCTGGACATGTGGGGATACAAGGAAAAGAGTAAGCTGGCCGGCTTGCAGGTAAGGCTACTGTGACAACCGGACAAGCCATGGACCAGGCTGATTTACTGAATGCACTAAGAGAGTAAAGACGTTTGCGTGAGCCAACTGAGAACTGTTATTTATAGGTTACAGTATTAAACCAGTTATTTATAGGTTACAGTATTAAACCAGTTATTTATAGGTTACAGTATTAAACCAGTTATTTATAGGTCACAATATTGAACCAGTTATTTATAGGTCACAATATTGAACCAGTTATTTATACAACACTTTTGTCTTACTGGTAATTTGTGCCTTTTTTTTTTTTTAAACCGTTAATTTATGCTTTTTTTTTTAAACTGTTAATTTATGCTTTTTTTTTCAAACTATCCGTTAATTCATGCTTTTTAAAAAACTAACTGTTCATTTATACTTTTTAAAATTTTTCTCTTAACCATCGCAGCTTTTAAGGATGCGCAGTATGCCACTGCCACACTGGGGCCCTGCCTTGGCGGACGACAGAAAAGACCGCTACTCTCCTGAGAGAATGAGTCAGCAAAACTTTGGCACATTGGAATACCAGCTGGGCGACAAAATATACCGCAGCCACTTAGACGTTCATGAGATTGCCCGTCTGTTGGCTGGAAGCACAACTACAATCAACACCCTGCATAACTCTCGCCAGGTATCTCGTTGTCCTTCAACAGCGACCTTGGGAATGAACCCACCATTGCCACAGTATCAAGGGACGCAGCAGAATCAGACGCCAAGTCAGACACCCACAGCGTCTGTGTGGGGTAGCAAGACATCAATGCAGTGATTGGTTGAGCTGTGAGCTTCTCTCTTGTGTGTAATGAGTTTTTTGTTGTTTTTTTTTTCCTAACAATTCTTGATGTGTTCAGAGCGTGATAGTTTTGTTCAGATTTTTCTCAGGAAGTGGTTTCAAGTGATACAAGATGGGTCTTCCCGTGTGGGTTCCTGGGCACTATTGTGGGTGTGGGTTTCAGGGCCCCATTGTGGATTCTAGTTCTCCATTGTGGATTCAGTGCCCCATTGTGGATTCAGGGCCCCATTGTGGGTTCAGGGCCCCATTGTGGATTCTTAGGCCCCATTGTGGGTTCTGGGGTGCCATTGTGGGTTCCAGAGCCCCATTCTGTGGGGGGGGGGGTTACAAATAATTGACTGACTGCACCTAATAAGCATGCAGTAAGAGAGGACTAGTGAAGATTTTGCTGCAATCTGATGTTTTGGGCAAAAGATGCAGATATTGCAGCCTAGCTGTAAACCACAATACAACATGTCGACTGCCCTTTTAAGGATGAATGTTGATGAAGAAGAAGAAATGTGGGTCAAGCAGTTATAGAACTAGATTTTAAAATTTTAACAGAAGACATTCTGATCTCAGGAACAGCAAGTGATTTCACTGGCACATTTTAAATGGTAGACTTAAAAAACAACCTAAGATATACATTTGCTTTTATCTGGGAAAACAAGCTTTTAGGCCTCAATTAAAAAAAATCTGGCAAGCATCCGCATGGTATAAAATGCGCCATGCTTGAGTTTTATGCTGGAATTGGAAGAAGGGATAGATCTCAACCAACAAAAAGGGACCAATAACTCATCTTACAATTAGGGACCAGTCATTCAGCAAATTAGTCAGCTTGAAGGGAGCATTCGTTTAGCTTTCTAAAGGAGACCAATAATTGGCCTGCAAGAGAGGACCACTTGTTGAGCTTCCTAAAAGACCAGTCTGCCAGTTTGCTTCCTGTGAGGGTTCCTGGATCCCGTTTTAGGGACAAAGAATAGACCCACTGCCCCCTTAACAAGCATGTCTAACAAGGTGTTTAGACTGGGGTTTTTCTTTCAAAGTTTAGACTGCATTTCCCTGAGAGGCTAGGAACCAACAGTCTGCATACAAATACACCAGATGTACATGCAAAACTCCTGTTCTGGAATATAATGAAAGTCCAGAAGTGGACGAATGACCAAAACTTTCTGCTGGCTTATGCGAAGAAGAAGTCACTTTACCCTACAGAATGGCAGTAAACACTTCTGACCCCCAAAAGTTTGGCATTGAAAGCTTAATGAAGTTTTTTATTTTTTGTTTGTTTTATTTTATGACATGTGTAAATATGTTGTTTTTCTAAGGTCTTTTTTTTGGGGGGGGGGGGGGGGGGAATATTGGAAAAATGGAAAGTACAGGAGGGTGAGTTGTTTTTTTTTTTTTTTTTTTTTCTTAGGCCACTGAGATGAAAGGTTAAAAACTGCTTTTGGTTTTTTAGACAGTTTTACGTTTTGTAGTTTTTCATTGTTTTACAAACTATTGATGCTCCATTCCACTGTAAAAATAAGTGCAATGCTTAGGTTATTTTATAGTGTTCTGTAAAAGAATTACTACTGACTTGCCTAACATTGATATATTTTAATGACAGTTCTTGCCTACCTAACGTGATTGAAGCTGATTGTAAGAAATGCTAAATATAACACAAAATGTGACTAGAAAGCTCAATGGAGGGAATGGAAAAGAGACACACAGACACAACTGAATGTTTCAACCAAAGTCTTTATGAATGTAATACTAAATACAGCACAAACTGTGACTGGAAAACTCAACAGACAAGACAAACGCCTTTCTACTTTTTTTGATTTCATACTGACGCCATTCATATTCAAAATTCATATTCTTGGTATTATGTTGACCTTGGTTTTTTATTAGCTCTCTTGTCTTGCTTTTGAGTTTTCCAGTCACAGTTTGTGCTGTATTTAGTTGATAAAGACTTTGGTTGAAACATTCAGTTATGTTTGTGTGTGTTCTTTGCATTTCCTCTGCTGAGCATTCTAGTCACATTTTGTGTTATGTTTAGCATTTCTATGTTTTAACAATGTTTAGTCTGAGAATGAAAGTGGAGGGACCATGACAGTTGTTTCCCTGGCTGGAGAATCAACTGTATACACATGCCCTAATTGTAATTCCTGAGAAGAGTCGAGTGTTAAGCTTACTAGGAAGGTGCTGAAAAGGAAGGAGGAGATGATCTTATTTAGAAGGGGAGATCCTTGCCAGTAGAACTTCAGGAATCTTAAATTCTGGTGTTTCCTCTTTTTTTTTCTTTTCCCTCCTTATGTCTCTTTTTCCCTACTTGGACCTGGTTGAGGTTCACCATTTTTTACCATTAATTAAAAAAAAATGGTCTTAAGAAATTTGCTTTAGCCTTCTTCTCAGCAGTTCCAGAAATGGAACATAGTCTGGTCATACAAGATCGTGCTTTTACAGCATGTTCCAGAAATGGGACATTGTCTGGTCATTATAGACAGTGCTATTACAGCATGTTCCAGAAATGTGACATTGTGTGGTCATTATAGACAGTGCTATTACAGCATGTTCCAGAAATGGGACATTGTGTGGTAATTCTAGACAGTGATATTATAGCATGTTCGAGAAATGGGACATTGTGTGGTCATTATAGACAGTGATAATACAGCATGTTCCAGAAATGGGACATTGTCTGGTCATTCTAGACTGTGCTAATACAGCATGTTCCAGAAATGGGACATTGTCTGGTCATTCCAGAAAATGCTTCAGGCTTTTTTTTTAGGTGGTATTTCTTTACAAAGTTTTTGAAATTTATCCATTTGGCAAACATTTCCTTGCTTAATGGGAGGGATAAACAAGGGCAGAGCATTCATTTTGACTAATACAAGTTCTAGCACAGGAGTCATATTCTTAACAAATGTCGTTTGCCAACAATATGTACACGTCTAAACAGAACATATATCAAAAGCGGACGTATATCAAGGTACCACTGTACTTGTATGTTACATCTCTATTACAAAATGAAATATCATGTCACTACATTTGTCATATTTAGTTCCTGTCTGTCTATGTCACTGTTGTTCATTCTTCCACATTTACTGCTGGACTTTGACAGTGTGTTGATCTTTCAGACTGAGGGGGGAATCTGTGAGGGAGAAATAAAAATTAAAATTAAAAAGTGATAACTGTCATTGAAAGTTGGTCACATCTTTTTTTTAAAAATACCATGTAGCCTCATACATTTAGTATTTTGTTAATGAAATATGATATTCTTATATGCATTGTTCCACTA